TCTCCCCATAAAGATTCCGGGCCATGCTTGTCTCCCCGAAAGATTCTGGACCATGCTTGTTTCCCCGTAAAGATTCCGGACCATGCTTGTCTCCCCGAAAGATTCTGGGCCATGCTTGTCTCCACGTTAAGATTCAGGGCCATGCTTGTCACCCCGTTAATAATCTGGGCCATACTTGTCTCCCCGTGAAGATTGAGGGCCATGCTTGTCTCCCCATTATGATTCAGGGCCATACTTGTCTCCCCATAAAGATTCAGGGCCATGCTTGTCTCCCCATGAAGATTCAGGGCCATGCTTGTCTCCCCATAAAGATTCAGGGCCATGCTTGTCTCCCCGTGAAGATTCAGGGCCATGCTTGTCTCCCCATAAAGATTCAGGGCCATGCTTGTCTCCCCATAAAGATTCCGGGCCATACTTGTCTCCCCATAAAGATTCAGGGCCATGCTTGTCTCCCCATAAAGATTGAGGGCCATGCTTGTCTCCCCATAAAGATTCCGGGCCATACTTGTCTCTCCATAAAGATTCCGGGCCATGCTTGTCTCCCCATAAAGATTCAGGGCCATACTTGTCTCCCCGTGAAGAATGAGGGCCATGCTTGTCTCCCCATTAAGATTCAGGGCCAAGCTTGTATCCCCGTTAAGATTGAGGGCCATGCTTGTCTCCCCATAAAGATTCCGGGCCATACCTGTCTCCCCATAAAGATTCCGGGCCATGCTTGTCTCCCCATAAAGATTGAGGGCCATGCTTGTCTCCCCATAAAGATTCCGGGCCATACTTGTCTCCCCATAAAGATTCCGGGCCATACTTGTCTCCCCATAAAGATTCAGGGCCATACTTGTCTCCTCGTGAAGATTGAGGGCCATGCTTGTCTCCCCATTATGATTCAGGGCCATACTTGTCTCCCCATAAAGATTCCGGGCCATACTTGTCTCCCCATAAAGATTCTGGGCCATACTTGTCTCCCCGTGAAGATTGAGGGCCATGCTTGTCTCCCCATAAAGATTCAGGGCCAAGCTTGTCTCCCAAAAAGATTGCTGCCGTGCTTGTCTCCGCGAAATATTCCGGGCCATGCTTGTATCCCCGTAGGGATTCTAGGCCATGCTTGTCTCCCTGAAAGATTCTGGGCCATGCTTGTATCCCCGTTAAGATTTTGTGCCATGCTTGTCTCCCTGAAAGATTCTGGGCAATGCTTGTCTCCCCGTTAAGATTCTTGGCCATGCTTGTCTCCCCGAAAGATTCTGGGCCATGCTTGTTTCCCCGTTAAGATTCTGTGCCATCCTTGCCTCCCCGTTAAGATTCTGTGCCATCCTTGTCTCCCCGTTAAGATTCTGGGCCATGCTTGTTTCCCCAAAAGATTCTGGGCCATGCTTGTTTCCCCATAAAGATTCTGGGCCATGCTTGTCTCCCCGAAAGATTCTGGGCCATGCTTGTTTCCCCATTAAGATTCTGTGCCATCCTTGTCTCCCCGTTAAGATTCAGGGCCATGCTTGTTTCCCCAAAAGATTCTGGGCCATGCTTGTTTCCCCAAAAGATTCTGGGCCATGCTTGTTTCCCCATAAAGATTCCGGGCCATGCTTGTTTCCCCAAAAGATTCTGGGCCATGCTTGTTTCCCCATAAAGATTCTGGGCCATGCTTGTCTCCCTGAAAGATTCTGGGCCACGCTTGTTTCCCCGTTAAGATTCTGGGCCATGCTTGTTTCCCCGAAAGATTCTGGGCCATGCAAGTTTCCCCGTTAAGATTCTGGGCCATGCTTGTCTCCCTGAAAGATTCTGGGCCATGCTTGTCTCCCCGTTACGATTCTGTGCCATTCTTGTCTCCCCATAAAGATTATGTGCCATGCTTGTCTCCCTGTTAAGATTCTGTGCCATGCTTGTCTCCCCGTAAAGATTCTGTGCCATGATTGTCTCCCTGTTAAGATTCTGGGTCACGCTTGTCTCCCTGAAAGATTCTGAGTCACGCTTGTCTCCCCGTTAAGATTCTGGGTCACGCTTGTCTCCCCGAAAGATTCTTGGTGATGCTTGTCTCCCTGAAAGATTTTGGGTCACGCTTGTCTCCCCGAAAGGTTAGTGGCCATGCTTGTCTCCCTGAAAGATTCTGGGCCATGCTTGTCTCCCTGAAAGATTCTGGGTCATGCTTGTCTCCACGTTAAGATTCAGGGCCATGCTTGTCTCCCCGTTAATAATCTGGGCCATGCTTGTCTCCCTGAAAGATTCTTGGTCACGCTTGTCACCCTGTTAATATTCTGGGCCATGCTTGTCTCCCCGAAAGATTCTGGGCCATGCTTGTTTCCCCGTTAAGATTCTGGGCCATGCTTGTCTTCCCGAAAGATTCTGGGTCATGCTTGTCTCCCCGAAAGATTCTGTGCCATGCTTGTCTCCCCGAAAGATTCTGGGCCATGCTTGTCTCCCCGAAAGATTCAGGGCCATGCTTGTCTCCCCGAAAGATTCTGGGTCATGCTTGTTTCCCCGAAAGATTCTGGGTCATGCTTGTCTCCCTGAAAAATTCTGAGTCATGCTTGTCTCCCCGAAAGATTCTGTGCCATGCTTGTATCCCCGTTAAGATTCTTGGCCATGCTTGTCTCCCCGAAAGATTCTGGGTCATGCTTGTCTCCCCGCTAAGATTCTGGGCCATGCTTGTATCCCCGTTAAGTTTCTGGGCCATGCTTGTCTCCCCGAAAGATTCTGGGTCATTCTTGTCTCCCCGAAAGATTCTGGGACATGCTTGTCTCCCCGAAAGATTCTTGGCAATGATTGTCTCCCCGAAAGATTCTGTGCCACGCTTGTCTCCCCGTTAAGATTCTGTGCCATGCTTGTATCCCCGTTAAGATTCTGGGCCATGCTTGTCTCCCCGAAAGATTCTGGGTCATGCTTGTCTCCCCGAAAGATTCTGGGCCATGCTTGTCTCCCTGAAAGATTCTGGGTCATGCTTGTCTCCCTGAAAGATTCTGTGCCATGCTTGTTTCCACGTTAAGATTCTGGGCCATGCTTGTTTCCCCGTTAAGATTCTGGGCCATGCTTGTATCCCCGAAAGATTCTTGGCAATGATTGTCTCCCCGAAAGATTCTGGACCACGCTTGTCTCCCCGTTAAGATTCTGGGCCATGCTTGTATCCACGTTAAGATTCAGGGCCATGCTTGTCACCCCGTTAAGATTCCAGGTCATGCTTGTATCCCCGTAAAGATTCAGGGCCATGCTTGTCTCCCCGAAAGATTCAGGGCCATGCTTGTCTCCCCGTTAAGATTCTAGGGCATGCTTGTCTCCCCATTAAGATTCAGGGCCATGCTTGTCTCCCCGTTAAGATTCTAGGTCATGCTTGTATCCCCGTAAAGATTCTGGGACATGCTTGTCTCCCCGTAAAGATTCTGGGCCATGCTTGTATCCCCGTAAAGATTCTGTGCCATGCTTGTCTCCCCGTAAAGATTCTAGGTCATGCTTGTATCCCCGTAAAGGTTGCTGGCATGCTTGTCTCCCCGTAAGACTCCCCGCTATTCTTATCCCCCCGTTAAGACTCCCCGCTATTCTTATCCCCCCGTTAAGACTCCCCGCTATTCTTATCCCCCCGTTAAGGCTCCCCGCTATTCTTATCCCCCCGTTAAGACTCCCCGCTATTCTTATCCCCCCGTTAAGATTCAGGGCCATGCTTGTCTCCCCGTTAAGATTCTGGGCCATGCTTGTCTCCCCATAAAGATTCAGGGCCATGCTTGTCTCCCCATAAAGATTCAGGGCCATGCTTGTCTCCTCATAAAGATTCTGGGCCATGCTTGTCTCCCCATAAAGATTCTGTGCCATGCTTGTCTCCCCATAAAGATTGAGGGCCATGCTTATCTCCCCATAAAGAATGCTGCCGTGCTTGTCTCCGCGAAATATTCCGGGCCATGCTTGTTTCCCCGTTAAGATTCCGGGCCATGCTTGTCTCCCCGTTAAGACTCCGGGCCATGCTTGTCTCCCCGTTAAGATTCTGTGCCATGCTTGTTTTCGCGAAATATCCCGGGCCATGCTTGTCTCCCAGTTAAGATTCTGTGCCATGCTTGTCTCCCCGTTAGGATTCAGGGCCATGCTTGTCTCTGCGAAATATTCCGGGCCATGCTTGTATCCCCGTTAAGATTCCGGGCCATGCTTGTCGAAAAATGGTTTATTCTGACGATTATTTATAGGTCACTGGGATAAAACTGGAATAATGTTGACTGCGACTGAAAAAAAAACACTCACTCAGTCCATGCCGGGCAGTGAAAAATCTGGCATTGTTGGACAATATCTATTGCAGAAGCAGCCATGCCAATTTCCTCAAAGGAACAGCACTCATGCACTTGTGAACTTACATCTCTCTCTCCCCTCTCTCTCCCCTCTCTCTCCTTGTCTCCCATACTCTCTCTCTCCCTCCCTCTCTCTCTCCTTGTCTCCATACTCTCTCTCCCTCTCTCCCCTTGTCTCCCATACACTCTCTCTCCCTCCCTCTCTCTCTCCTTGTCTCCATACTCTCTCACACCTCTCTTCTTGTCTCCCATACTCACTATCGCACCTTGTCTCCATACTCTCCCTCTCCCTCTCTGTCTTTGTCTACCATATTCTCTCTCTCCCTCTCTCTCCTTCACTCGCTACTTTCTCCTCTCTCTCTCGCTCCTTATCTCACATTCTCCCTCTTGCTTCTTTATCCCCCCTCTCTCTCCCTTTCGCTCCTTGTCTCCCATACTCTCTCTCCCTCTCGCTCCTTTCTCCCCCTCTCTCTCTCTCCCTCTCGCTCCTCTCTCCCCCCTCTGTCTCTCTCTCTCTCTCCCTCTCGCTCCTTCCCCCCCTCTCTCTCTCTCTCTCTGGCTCCTCCCCCCCCCCCCCTCTCTCTCTCCCTCTCGCTCCTTTCCCCCCTCTCTCTCTCTTTCTCTCTCTCTCTAAGAAATGTTACGGAGGAAAGCTTACCGATTCAGCACAGCGGCTTTCTCCATTTTTACCACTCAGCACCCCGAAGCTTGGGGCATAGCAACAGTATCTACGGTTGACGTAGCTCGGTGACGTCCAACACAACACAGATGGGACGGCCGCGTGTGGACGACATACACTCCAGGTGACACACATACAACCTCCGCCATACAGTCATACACACCGGTCTCGCAGTTCATCCACAAACTTCAGGTAAGTTGCCATAGTAAACTCAATAGGATTCAGTCCCTTGCACTGGTTAATACTACACGGATTAACCACGGATTTCAAGTAGCAGTTCCGTACAGAGACAAGGCACCCATCTATTTTACCGGTAAATCTGGAAAAGGGCACGGAAAGCATATATTGTATTACACGGGGGCGTCAAGGCGTCGTGAAACACTGTGTCAGTTAGCTGATTCAGCTACTAGGGCGAACTGTAACGACAGTCAATACGCTCGCCTAACGCTTCACATTGTGTGAGCAGGAGAAGTTTAAGCAGTTTCAGCAGTTTAAGTAACAATATTCCAGCACTATCACGGCGGGAGACACCAGAAATGGACTTTTTGCATTGCTCCATTGTGGGAATAGTACCCGGTCCTTCGGCCTGCCGAGCGACACTGTATGCACTGGGCTCTCCCCCCGCCTCTGATCATCAGGAATTAAGATATCAAACATTTACACATAACTGTATCCTCACTATTGGGTAACCCATTGTATGAGGGGTCCGCTGAACGGGGGTAAAGATTGAAGATTTGTTCAAGATCCAAGAATTTTGGCTTAAGTAAAGATGACTATAGCATCATTCACGGGTGACTTCCCAACTAAGAGGGGCGGTCGGGTAGCCTCGTGGTTAAAGCGTTCGCCCGTCACGCCAAAGACCTGGGTTCAATTCCCCAAATGGGTACAATGTGTGAAACCCGTTTCTTATGTTCCCTTCCATGATATGCCCTTAAAATTCCTAAAAGCGACGAAAAATCATACTCACTTCTAACTAAACATTGTTCAAAGCGGTGTGGCACCCCACTCTCGCAGTGTGGGGGACTACCATCTTTGGTGAGCTTTAATCCTACAAAGACCAGTGTCCTAACAGGATCTCGTTAATTGTATATAGTATATCATTTTTCGGAGGCAAGGGAGTTAACAAACTATTAAAGTCCAGTTTCCACCATTGCCGAACTAGACTAACGAGCCTATGCATAGTCCAATCAAAATCGCACAATGAAATCAAAATCTGGTTCGTAAACTGTCATGTAGATTTTGGGCGATTGCAGGATTTGCAAAGCATCCGCGTAGCCAACTCCGTGTCAACAGATATTTTCCAAATCTTTTCATGTTTTTAATAAAGGTGCTCGCGTGATTTGATGCACTTCGCGATGGAAGATCCGTTTTATCACAATATAAGTCTTGATTGTCGATCAGAAACGAGAGGTGGAATCTGATTGGTCCATACGAGAGGCCTAAAAGGGACATTACTCGTAATAGCCACTGGTGGCGCTACGATCGAGCCCTGGAATTCCAGCCTAGTTCGACAAGGGTGGAAACTGGACTTTTAAAGACAGTTAACTCTCTTGCCTCGGGAAGATGATAGTATATATGTTGGCATTATTTTTGGCATTACATATGTCGAAAATGGATTTTCCTTATCAAAAGAAATAAACAGAAACAGGCATACCATAATAGTTCAAGAGTTTCTGCTATGGGCATCAGGACATAGAGCCTTAGTAATATCTACTCGGAAACTGAACCGGAAGTAACCGCAGAGACGCTAAAATTGGATGGTTCCGCCTTTCTTCGAGCGCGTAGTGATACAAAAGAGCCACAGAGAGATATCATTTTGTACATGGCCAAGTTGTCTTGTTTATAAAAATTGTAAACAATCAGTTCAACTCAAGGAGTCATGGTTGTTTTTTAAATGAACTTTCTTAAAACTCTGTAACTTCATTGAACAATCATCTCTGGTCAGCATTCAAGAAGGTTCTTCCCGCTATCGACGGTGCCATGAATCTATTATTCCATTTGGGTACTTTGATAAATATAATCCCCAAGTTCTTATTTATTATGGCAATATGGCATCACTTACCTTATTCAAAATTAACACATGTTACCGGTTTTTGTTACTTTCAACATCAGTCAATGCAACATCGTGTCACTGGATTTTCTGATTCAACGATCACTTGGCAGGAATTGGCTGTGGGGAGTCAAGCAGTAAACACTTACGATTGTATGAAAGGCGAAGCTACTCCTTGGGCAGGACATGACCGGATGTCATCTCTGATTGCCAGTGGAAACTTCATATTTTTCATTGACATTTTATATTTACAAAATTGGGAAAAATATGTATCGTAAATTCCGCATTGCAAAGCACGTGAATCAGTGAAGTATGTAGGAGGAGGTGTGGTGTGCGGAATCTTGTTGACATGCAGGAAACTGGTCACTTGACTCCCACATCTGTTTGTTTAGATCTAACTCTACTTGGCGTTCTAAAACATAATTCGGTTTAATGTTTTATATCCATTTTTTTTTAATTTACCAAGAGTTATATATCAAAGTAATTGAAATTTGCAACAGTTTCAAGTTTTTTTATAAAAAGTTACGATACTCAACCTTTGTTTCAAAATCATGTTTGCCATCGGTCATTACGACACTGGTAGACAATTCCCTGTTATTTTTTACAACCAGCACTTTAATCGTGATGCTTAATTAATGTGAGTGTTTACATTACCAAACAGGGGGCCATATTTTAGATCTTGTTTTGATAAATTTGTACATTTATTCGGGCTGTTGGAAACTAAAGTATTTCAACACAAGTTTCAGAAGGAGCCTATACTTGCACTAGCGTACCACACCAACTATTCAACGGAAGGTTTGACTTCACTTTCTGTTAGTTTGATGTCTCAGGCAAGTCTTCGGGCCTGTTGTAGAACATATTTGTGGCATCAGTTTTGTTCACGAAAGGTCAGTGTTTGTGATAGGGGTCTGTGTTCACTTTGGTACAATGTATATGTATGGTGTCTGAATTAAGCAGTAGCCTTGCCCCGGAGATTTTATTGATACTATTATATTCCTTTGGACAACCTCCGACCATTTAGCAAGTGTAGAAATCCTAGATAGTCGTCAGATTATGTTCACTTTGCAACTTATAAGCACACAACTACAGAACCGCTGATGCCTTTTTCCACTGGAATATTCTTAGTACCCAGCAAAGATAAAAGACAGAGCATTTGCAATGATGTTACAATACCACATGTAATTATTGCTGTAGGTTGCGTTACAATCTGAAAAGTTCATCGCAACTGTCTCCAGCTGCAATCTAGGTCATTTGCAAACTTGTTTGTTCTGTACCGAGACAAGTCCCTCGCCTTGCATGCTGATGCAATATCTCCAGTTGCAATGTTAACAAGAGTTGGACATGGAAAGTGGTTTGTCACGAGTTCGGTTTTGAAAACTTACAGAGTCCTCTGCACATCTTCTCCATGTCCAGTCCTTCTCCAGTAAGACACTTGTGACACTTGTCATGGTAGCCCTCTTGTAGCTGGCGAGAAACCTTTTACAGTCCCAGGACACTGGAGGATTCGTTTGATGCCTCCTTTCTTTCTGTGACGTGCAGGTGAAGTAAAAGGAGACCATGTAAGCTTGCGTCCGTAAACTGCTTCCTTTCACCGCTAAGTTGTTCAGGGCGATCGGAAAGTTTCTCAAACCAATCTGAACAGAGTCCTTGTCCGCGGTAGAAAAGCTCCTCTGCAACCCAGTCTTCAGCTTGCTGTAAAAAGCGACTATGCTTGTCATAAGAGACGACTAACGGGATCGGGTGGTCAGGCTCGCTGACTTGGTTGAGTGAGTGAGTGAGTTGGGTTTAACGCCGCTTTTAACAGTATTCCAGTTATATCACGGCGTGTCAGCTTAATGTGGGAGGAAAGCCCGAAGTGATGCAGGTCTCAGACGTTTACCACTTCGGTGAAACCCAAGAGCACGGGTATGGTGCTGACAAACCTAGAAACATAATCGGGGCGAACCGGGATTCGAACCCATAATCATAGGTTTCTGGCGTGCCTAAGGGACGCAACTCTGCACAGCGAATCGCGGCGCCTTAGACGACTGGGCCATCCGTGCCCCCCTGAATTGGTCGATGCATGTCATCGTATCCCAATTGCATGGATCGATGCTCATGTTGGGTCCAGACTCGATTATTTACAGACCGCCGTCATATAGCTGGAATATTGCTGAGTGCGGCGTAAAACAACAAACAACAACAACTTCCTCCGCATCTTCTTTTCGTTTACACGGATGGTTGAGTCACATGTTACAACAACTTTGTTTCATTGTCTGCAACTGTACTAAATTCAGTGGCCAGCTGTTTGAGGTGCTTCAGTCATAGAGCAGTAGCAAACTTGTGTGACATTAAAGCGCACATTAGACTGGTAGGTGATCACTTTAGATAGCGTTGTCATATTCGTATTATTCGTCTAAGCATTTCTCTTTAAGAATATCATGGTTGACCTCATGTCAGAGACCTTACACGCCAAACTATGCTGAACACATAATGTGTTTGGGGGGGATGGAGTAAGTTGCATGTGTGACCATGCTCACAAAATATCATTGGCTTTGAATTTTTTTTGTCACCACATACAAACATTTTATTAATATGTGTTGCGTTTATGGAGATATAAACGTAAGAACCGTTGTGCACTCTGTGTAAATCCGCATATTTTTCAATCTCCACTGTTACTTTTTATTTCTAATGATTTCCAAAAAAGTACCAATGGCAAAATGGTTGGCATTTCTCAAAAACGTGTTTGGGAGACAAGAAACAAACTAGTTTGCTTAATTCCAGAACTTTTCAAAGAGATAAGTGGCACGGTTGGCACAGTCGTCTTAGGTGCAGAGTTGCGTCCCCTAGACGTGCCAGAATCCTGTGCGTACAAAGACGGACACAGGTTGTAACAATTGTCAGAATGTCCTTGCTTGTTTGACGCAGTTCATGCGCCAATATGGAATCATTCGAGAAGGAGCACCATTCTCCCTCTCCCATTCACCATCGCTGGCACAAGTTGGTCACGAATGCTTTGTAAACTGCCTTATTAAAAAACATTAGATATACAGTGACCTGTATAAATATGCTATATGGCTATACACTCTTGTATCGAAATGCCCACATGAAGCGGACGTTAGATCAGTGTCTTTTTAATCATACAGCAACAACGCCGGCGACATGACCCGACTACAGCAGACTCTGGCAACATGTTTGACTGTGGTCACTGTAGTGCAGCTGAGCATGAAGGGAGTGACGTCAGAGGACACCTTCAGTAGGCTTTATTTTTCTTTTCTGCAGATCAAGTGTACTACGAAACCAAATTAGATATTATGTGAGAGGGGAGTAATGTTTTTATCTGTTCAAGAAAATGCTAGAATTATAATCATTTTCCCTCCGGTTCTGCAAAAATAAGATGTTTACTGGATGTTCTTAGTCCCAGAAACTATTCGGAGCCTCCTTTCATAGAAATGATGGTATATCTTGAGGCGGGGACCAAAACTATAGTTCATGTTCTTTGAAATCATCTTTCCATGTGTACTTTGAAAACATATGTACCAATATTTGATACTGTCGGAATCGTCCAATCGGCTGCTTTTGGCAGAGATTTCTTATGAATATGGAAGGAGTTTTGTCGCTTGTATTTGTAGGAGATATTATATGAGAGGGGTCTAATGATTTTATCTGTTGAAGAAAATGCTGAAAAAATAATAGTTTACTGGATGATTAAAACAGTGTTTTTAGGTCCCACAAATATTAGGAACCTTCATTCATAGAAAAAATGGTATATCTTGAAGCAGTAACCGAAACTATATTCCATCTCAAATAATATACTTTGAAAACACTTTTACCAATATTTCGCGAAACGTGTTTTGGGGACCGACTTTTTGATGGTAAGGGCGACCCCGAAGACCAAATCAGTACCTGCATCCACTTCTATGTGAGGGACATGGCATGGTACCCTGCACGTGCCAGCAGGATGTGTGACGGGGCTCAACACAGATTCATGTCTTCCGCAAAATAGCGGAATTGTTGGAGGGTTTTACTCCAAAGCATCGAAGCCTCGAATTTGATGGCACGAAAAAACTAACGTGATATCGTGACAGAATATAAATATGTCACAGAAACACAACACACACGCACAATCACAATCACGCACGTACACACACGCACACGCACGCACTCACGCAAACAATCGGTCCCTAAAGAATAGTTTATACTGAAATGTTGTAAATGCAACTGCTGTTCTTGTGATTCTCCTCTTCCTCTTCCTTCGCTGTCAGCCTGTTCCCCGCCCTGTCTGAACGGCGGCATCTGTATCGCTGAGAACACGTGCATGTGTACGGGGGAGTTCGAGGGCCCCATATGCCTCACGCAACGGACACGTGAGTACATTATAAGTGTGTGATCACGTGTTTTGGTCCCGCCTGTCCGGGCTTGTGACCAGGACACGGTGTCTATACAGAAACTGTCTAATTGTTTGTGAAAGATGTGCATTGAAAGAAAACAGTGTGTGTGTACTGTAAGAAAGAGAAGATTGTGTGCATCGTTAGAGAAGATTGTGTACCGTTAGTGAAGATTGTGTGTATCGGAAGAGAAGATTGTGTATTGTCAGAGAAGATTGTGTGTATCGTAAGAGAAGGTGTGTGTATCGTAAGAGAAGGTGTGTGTATCGTAAGAGAAGATTGTGTGTATTGTCAGAGAAGATTGTGTGTACCGTAAGAGAAGATTGTGTATCGTAAGAGAAGGTGTGGGTATCGTAAGAGAAGATTGTGTGTATTGTCAGAGAAATTGTGTGTACCGTAAGAGAAAGTGAGGGTATCGTAAGAGAAGGTGTGGGTATCGTAAGAGAAGATTGTGTGTATTGTCAGAGAAATTGTGTGTACCGTAAGAGAAAGTGAGGGTATCGTTAAAAAGATTGTGTGTATCGGAAGGAAAGATTGTGCGTATCGGAAGGGAAGATTGTGTGTATCGTAAGAGAAGATTGTTTATTAGAAGAGAAGATGGCGTGTGTCCTCCATGAAAGTTGTGTGTATCGTTGGCAAAGGTTGTGTGTACAAAGAGATAAATATAACTAGCTCCAACAAATGTACCACCAAATACCTGTCTCAACGATTAACCATAATCTTTAATACAATCAAGGAAGACTTGTTTTTATACGCACAGAAACTATTTCAGACAAGTGGGATTAATACCATGTGGATTCTCAAAAACTGAAACGATTTGCTTGACGTTTTACAATCTCAGAAAATAAGCAGGTTCAACTGTGTACACCACTATCCCACGTGACAAACTGTGTACACCACTATCCCACGTGACAAACTGTGTACACCACTGTCCCACATGACAAACTGTGTACACCACTATCCCACATGACAAACTGTTTACACTATTATCCCACATGACAAACTGTGTACACCACTATCATGCATGACAAACTGTGTACACCACTATCCCATATGACAAACTGTGTACACCACTATCCCACATGACAAACTGTCTACACCACTATCCCACATGACAAACTGTGTATACCACTATCCCACATGACAAACTGTCTACACCACTATCCCACATGACAAACTGTGTACACCACTGTCTCACATGACAAACTGTGTACACCACTATCCCACATGACAAACTGTGTACACCACTATCCCACATGACAAACTGTGTACACCACTGTCTCACATGACAAACTGTGTACACCACTATCCCACATGACAAACTGTGTACACCACTATCCCACATGAAAAACTGTCTACACCACTATCCCACATGACAAACAGTGTACACCTCTATCCGAAGTGACAAACTGTGTACACCACTATCCCACGTGACAAACTGTGTACACCACTATCCCACATGACAAACTGTGTACACCACTATCCCACATGACAAACTGTGTACATAACTATCCCGCATGACAAAATGTATACCACTATCCCATATGACAAAACTGTGTACACCACTATCCCACGTGACAAACTGTGTACACCACTATCCAACATGACAAACTGTGTACACCACTATCCCACGTGACAAACTGTGTACACCACTATCCCACGTGACAAACTGTGTACACCACTATCTAACATGACAAACTGTGTACACCACTATCCCACATGAAAAACTGTGTACATCACTATCCCACGTGACAAACTCTGTACACCACTATCCCGCATGACAATCTGTGTACATCACTATCCCGCATGACAAAATGTATACCACTATCCCATATGAAAAACTGTGTATACCACTATCCCGCATGACAAGGTGTGTACACCACTATCCCACATGACAAAACTGTGTACACAACTATCCCACGTGACAAACTGTGTACACCACTATCCCGCATGACAAACTGTGTACATCACTATCCCGCATGACAAAATGTATACCACTATCCCATATGTCAAACTGTGTATACCACTATCCCGCATGACAAGGTGTGTACACCACTATCCCACATGACAAAACTGTGTACACCACTGTCCCACATGACAAACTGTGTACACCACTATCCCACATGACAAACTGTTTACACCATTATCCCACATGATAAACTGTGTACACACTATCATGCATGACAAACTGTGTACACCACTATCCCATATAACAAACTGTGTTCACCACTATCCCACATGACAAACTGTCTACACCACTATCCCACATGACAAACTGTGTACACCACTATTACACGTGAAAAAACTGTGTACACTGCTATCCCACATGACAAACTGTGTACACCACTATCCCGCATTACAAACTGTGTACACCTTTATCCGAAATGAGAAACTGTGTACACCACTATCCCACATGACAAAACTGTGTACATCACTATCCCACGTGATAAACTGTGTACACCACTATCCCGCATGACAAACTGTGTACACCTTTATCCGAAATGAGAAACTGTGTACACCACTATCCCATATGACAAAACTGTGTACATCACTATCCCACGTGATAAACTGTGTACACCACTATCCCAAGTGACAAACTGTGTACACCACTATCCCACGTGACCAACTCTATACACCACTATCCCATGTGACAAACTGTGTACACCATTTTCCCACATGACAAACTGTGGACACCACTATTAAACGTGAAAAAACTGTGTACACTGCTATCCCACATGACAAAATGTGTACACCACTATCCCACGTGACAAACTGTGTACACCTCTATCCGACATGACAAACTGTGTACACTGCTATCCCACATGACAAACTGTGGACACCACTATTACACGTGAAAAAACTGTGTACACCACTATCCCACATGACAAACTGTGTACACCACTATCCCACGTGACAAACTGTGTACACCACTGTCCCACATGACAAACTGTGTACACCACTATCCCACATGACAAACTGTTTACACTATTATCCCACATGACAAACTGTGTACACCACTATCATGCATGACAAACTGTGTACACCACTATCCCATATGACAAACTGTGTACACCACTATCCCACATGACAAACTGTCTACACCACTATCCCACATGACAAACTGTGTACACCACTATCCCACGTGACAAACTGTGTACACCACTATCCAACATGAGAAACTGTGTACACCACTATCCCATATGACAAACTGTGTACACCACTATCCCACATGACAAACTGTGTACACCTCTATCCGAAGTGACAAACTGTGTACACCACTATCCCACTTGAAAAACTGTGTACACCACTGTCTCACGTGACAAACTGTGTACACCACTATCCAATGTGACAAACTGTGTACACCACTATCCAACGTGACAAACTGTGTACAGCACTATCCCACGTGACAAACTGTGTACACCACTATCCCGCATGACAAACTGTGTACATCACTATCCCGCATGACAAAATGAATACCACTATCCCATATGGCAAACTGTGTATACCACTATCCCGCATGACAAGGTGTGTACACCACTATCCCACATGACAAAACTGTGTACACCATTATCCCACGTGACAAACTGTGTACACCACTGTCCCACATGACAAACTTTGTACACCACTATCCCACATGACAAACTGTTTACACCATTATCCCACATGATAAACTGTGTACACCACTATCATGCATGACAAACTGTGTACACCACTATCCCATATAACAAACTGTGTTCACCACTATCCCACATGACAAACTGTCTACACCACTATCGCACATGACAAACTGTGTACACCACTATTACACGTGAAAAAACTGTGTACACTCCTATCCCACATGACAAACTGTGTACACCACTATCCCGCATGACAAACTGTGTACGCCTTTATCCGAAATGAGAAACTGTGTACATCACTATCCCACGTGATAAACTGTGTACACCACTATCCCAAGTGACAAACTGTGTACACCACTATCCCACGTGACCAACTCTATACACCACTATCCCATGTGACAAACTGTGTACACCACTTTCCCACATGACAAACTGTGGACACCACTATTACACGTGAAAAAACTGTGTACACTGCTATCCCACATGACAAACTGTGTACACCACTATCCCACGTGACAAACTGTGTACACCTCTATCCGACATGACAAACTGTGTATACCACTATCCCGCATGACAAGGTGTGTACACCACTATCCCACATGACAAAACTGTGTACACCATTATCCCACGTGACAAACTGTGTACACCACTGTCCCACATGACAAACTTTGTACACCACTATCCCACATGACAAACTGTTTACACCATTATCCCACATGATAAACTGTGTACACCACTATCATGCATGACAAACTGTGTACACCACTATCCCATATAACAAACTGTGTTCACCACTATCCCACATGACAAACTGTCTACACCACTATCGCACATGACAAACTGTGTACACCACTATTACACGTGAAAAAACTGTGTACACTCCTATCCCACATGACAAACTGTGTACACCACTATCCCGCATGACAAACTGTGTACGCCTTTATCCGAAATGAGAAACTGTGTACATCACTATCCCACGTGATAAACTGTGTACACCACTATCCCAAGTGACAAACTGTGTACACCACTATCCCACGTGACCAACTCTATACACCACTATCCCATGTGACAAACTGTGTACACCACTTTCCCACATGACAAACTGTGGACACCACTATTACACGTGAAAAAACTGTGTACACTGCTATCCCACATGACAAACTGTGTACACCACTATCCCACGTGACAAACTGTGTACACCTCTATCCGACATGACAAACTGTGTACACTGCTATCCCACATGACAAACTGTGGACACCACTATTACACGTGAAAAAACTGTGTACACCACTATCCCACATGACAAACTGTGTACACCACTATCCCACGTGACAAACTGTGTACACCACTATCCCACGTGAC